GTGTCTTCTGTTATTGTTAAAATGAATACAATTGTTTAACAAATCAATTTCAGTTTTAAAGTTTAACAAAAATTTTATTTGAGAAAAAAATTGGCACAACTAATATGTCTATAATAACAAAGACTTCAAACCTTTATCTCCCCCTTAAAATAGTTTCATATTCATGAAGTTTTCATTTTTGCACTTAGATTTTTAACCAACTCAGTAAATTTCTGTCTTGCAATTTTCCACTAACTGTTTGTCACAAGACACACATAAGCCAACTAAATTTTTAGAAACTTTTCCATTATTAATTTTGCCACATCTTTTTCTTTAAGACCATTATTTATGTTTTAAAAAACAACTAAAAGTAAATTATCATAATTGATAAATGACGCACTTACAGGTTCAAAATGACAACATTTTAAGTACTCGACTTATTTAGTCGGTTGTTGCGAGTGAAATTAAATTTAAAAAATACAAAAACACTAGATAAAAAATAAATGGAGTCGAATTTGACCCATTTCGGTGACTAAAAAAGTATGAAAAAGTATAATTATTATTTACAGTCCACTATCTTTCTTAAGGTCAATGACTGGGTCATAGCTGCAAACCGATGACGCTTTAAAACCAAAAAAACGCCAACGACGTCGTCCGGTTGTCGACAAGACTTTATTGTTTCTTGTTGGGAAGCGAAATTATCATAATAATATATTTTTTATCTCTGCTTCGTGAACATCCAACTGATGCAATTCATGCAATCATATTATACACCACGTTTCGTTTATCTGGTCGGATGTACAGTGTTGTTTTGCGACAAGGACATCCGACGGTTATGCTTGCATAAAAAAAAAACAATTCAAAATAAAAAATACCGTCATGGGGTCAACTGTAAAACCTACTCGCGACCTCTGAAGGTCGGACACAGCGACGACGGTAATAATATCAATCAGTTCAGACGACCTTACCTGTTGTAGTCGACCGTATCTACGCCGTTACGAAATCCTTGTTTAAAAAAAAATCCTTATTAGTTCGACCACTCCTCTCGTCTTGTATATTATTTTATTATGATAATTATCGTTATTAGAAGCTAAAAAAAAAAACAAATTACAACAACAAAGATATACATAATAATTTGTACACCAATCACCTTTACAATGGGTAGGTACCTACTTACTGTCACTGTCTCATAATATATATGTTTTTCTATGACGTTTGAATGTTCGACTCAATCATCGTTTTAGACTTTGGCCAAGAAGTTAACGACACACACAAATTAATTGCACATAACACTTGTGACATTTATCAAGTTGACTGCCTTGTACTTTAAGCTTTAAGTTTTGTGTACTGAATTGAACTCACAAAACTATTTATCATGAAAAATTAAAATAGCATAAGTTAACAAAACATATACAATACAATAAGTTTTGGTTACTCCAAATTTCATGTTGCTATTTATGTTGGTTAAAAAAAAAAATGAAGATTTCCACTAAAACGCTTATTATATTTAACGATACAAATTTACCGATGTAAAGGTTCTAATAATATCAATACAACACTAATAAAAAAACCGTTGGGACTTTGCCAATCATTCACTCAAATATTCCCATGAACATAAGATAAACTAAGCAAAGAAGAAACTGTTTAATATTAAAAATTACACTAAGTGAAATTATTATTAGTGAGTTAAAATAAAAACTAAACACAAGGTATTAGCGTTATTTATTAATTTGATATTTAAAAGTCGAGAAAACCTTTTAAAACAATATTTTTGATTTGAATATAAAATATAATTTTTTATCATTAAACAGCTTAAGGATATTTAATTGGACCTTTTTTAGGCAAAGCTGAAAAATAACTAAAAAAAATTATTGTTCCATTTTAAGAATTCATGCATATTTTATTTTAAAAATAAGACAATAACTTTTTTGAAAATGTTTGATTAATGTGTAGTTTATACTACATACAATTACTAAATATTTACCTTTTTCGATATTTTTTAGAACTCTAAAATTGTTTTTAACTTGAACGGAAACGTACATTTTTAAATTTACAATATTTTGCTGAAAATATACTTGTAAAATTTACTTGTAGCTAGACTATGATTAAGCAACTGTGGTCGATTTCAGTATAGCCTTCGGTCCCACTGTCTCAACTGCGCTGACGCTTTTTTTTTTTGATACTAATTTTTTTGTGTTCCATAAACGCATTGCCATTGTATTTCTTCCCATTGTAAACAACGCGTTTAATTAGATCGATACACTTATCGACACACAAAAATCATGCAGTCACGTTACCTCCTATATTTGAATATTATAACCTCCTATGGAGCGAATTCCGAGGCGATGAAAAGGTAGAGCTGTTCGGTTAACGTGAAGGAAGCGATTAGACGCGACTAATTTTAAGCGACACACGTTAAAAAAAAAAAAACAAATACCGAAAAATTAAGTTTTCTTAAAAAACATGTGATACTGTGATAAGTGATGGTAAATACAACCGGTATGCGACCAATTGATATTTGTCGAATATAGTAAAACTATCTTTTAAAATACACACAACACTTTAAATGATTGCGCTTCAAACAGATAAACCCTAGATAATAAAGTACAAATGAGTATTTACTCGACATATTGTAGTGTAAAAAATAGAAAGTTAAAATTTAATGTTGGCTTTTATAAGTATAAAAAAGAGCTACTCAAATATTTTACCTAAATAATGGAGATCAGAATACAAATATTTTTGAAAATATACAACTACACTTAAACAACTTAATTAGGTACTCCAGAAATTAAACTTATTTCACACTTTTGCCTGGATGTAAATTTTGTTTAGGATTTGTGGTATTCATAATATAATAGTTTTAATTATTTCAATAATAATAATTATTTAAAGTAAAAGAGGTTTACCTACACATTTAATTATTAACTTTTTAGTAAAGTAATATTGTAAGCAAAATAATTAGTAATAATAAGTGTAATATTTAATAATACATTTTAATTTTAACTTTAACAATTTTCGGACTGGTCCACGTCCAGTTTTGAATAATTAATTGTAAAGTTATTAAAGTGTAAAATTTAGGACCGGAGGAAGGATGAAGTAAATAACTATGAGCCTTACACAGCTGTGCTCCACCAGCTACCGACGTAACTTTAAACTTTATTAACTCTAAAATTAATGGGGAGGGGTGTGATGGAAAAGACACCCGAGAGACACTTCACTATATAATATAACTGAATCGTTTTCTTATTACTATTTAAAATATTATAAAAATCGCAGTACCTACTCGGCTTATGATAAGTTTCAAAAAACATCATCACAATTTATTCCACAAAATAAAATATATTGTAACCTACATCGGTTTAGTGGTTATGTTTCGCCAAAATGTTCTGCGTACATTAGGACTTAACAATACAAACAAATAAAATATGATATGTTAATGTTTCCGTTTAAACAAAGCAGATATTTTATGACTCCGTTGAAAACGTGGAAAAAAAAATTAAATAAATTTAACGAAACATAAAAATATACAGAGTGATTCATTTAATGTAAAATAATTGTGACTGTTAAGTTTTTCTATTTTTAAACATACATTTGTTTTTGTGCTAATGTACAACATAATGAGTTACCAAAACCTTTTACAATGTTTTCCAGAGTGCCATCAACTTTTAAATGAAAACGCCAATATTTAAAATAATATATATTTATTGAAAAAATTCAATACTTATGAACAAATGTCTAGTAAAAAAAAAAAAAAAAAAAATGGTTAATACTGAACGGCAAAAAATCCATAAAATTCGATTTTTTGAAGTATTTGTATTAGTTTTTATTTTTACTAACTTTTTATATTAATATATTTTTTTTTATCAAATACTTTAAATTTATTAATTGCGCCTATGTAATTGTAATTGTAGCTATTTGTAGCTATTTATATGACGGTTTTTGTGAAAATTTTAAGTCTCGTGATCCTTCATGTAATAATCCCAGCTCAACCAGCTGTATCCACACACAATTTTCTCTGAAACAAAAAAAATTTGTAAAATTTGTGGTTCTCGCTACTAGGAACTTGTATGCCCTGCAAAGTGATAATAAAAATAACCAGTAAATACAATTGGCAATATTTATTTTTAATTAAGTTTAGATGCATGATACCACATTCCAAGATAATAGTTAATTTCTCCACACCACGGAAAAACATTGAATCATGGATATGTTTTATCATATCCATAGAGTGTTCTTCCAATTATTATCATTTAAAAAAGTCGATATTAAATACAAAACTTAAATAATTAAATAGGATTACTAGAGTTATTAGTAAGTAACAAGTATGTTGGGAAAAGATGAATTAAAAATTATCTAGATAAGAAATCAAAGGGTTATGGACCATGAACATGTATGCAGAACAAATGTAAATCTTGATTAGATATTAGACTGTATTTATATATATTTTACACCATATATAAAACATTACCTAATCGAATAACGCTCTAAAAGAGAAATATGTTTATCACTTGTTAGTAATACAGTCAAATTACATTAGGTAAAATATAAAAATATATTTACAAATTTAAAACATTTAAATACCTACGATTAATTAATATAGATGTTGTTTTCACTTATAACATCTTTCACACAACACAACATGTAAAAATGTATTAAATCAATAAATATTAATATAATATCATAATTTCTATACAGAATAATATCCTCAGATATTATAAAGAGGGACGAGCAAAATGAACCTTTTATTGGTGCAGTTTTTTTTTATTCGATCGTTAGTCAAAATCTCAACTTTCAATCCTGCAATATGAGATCTGGTTCCGTTGGAATAATAATTAGTATATCATATGAAAGTTCATAATAAGTTTACTGATTATATTTATATATAAGAGGCTCTACAAATATTTGCTGTCATGTTAAGAGTAAAATCATTGAATTAATAAATATTAACTATTACATACGAATTAAATCAAATTATATAGACCGTGTTGAAATATCTATGGAACATTTTCCTTTTGTTTTAGCGCACATTTTTCAACTGTCCAGTAAATCTTGTCCGGTGTTCGAGCTGCCATCGGTTTTCCCAAGACAATTGTGCGATACAGACAGGCAATGCTGGCCGAGGATATGTTGCGGTTATGGCGGTATTAATGGCCACAAGTACTGTCGGATACCGTTGCCCAGTTGGCGAAACGATTTACTGAAAAGCATTACGAAAAGTAAGCACCTACCTCTTTTACAAATAGAAAATTACAACGAACATATATATTATATATATTACGGCTAACCCTAATACAAGGCCGGTTTATCACCGGTTTGTACATTACCTGTAGAGCTGTAAACCTTTATTTTGTTGTGGACTAGGCTGTAACACTTGCTTTGTCCGTTTGACGCCAGTTAATGTATTACAGAGGAAAAGGCGAGACCAAAAATACATACACAGATAGTAAAATAACACGTACAACACGGACCCACCTAACTTTTGTATACTGTCCTTTTTTTGCATTACCACTATTGCAACTGCCTTTATTCACATCTGAATGAAAAACCCACAAAATATAATACTCAAAAATTCTTTCAATCACTTATTTTGTAGGGCAAGTTAGTGTATTGTTTAGCTAGCCACAATCAGAATTCTGCAAAAATAAATTCAATAACGAATAATAATAAACAAAACGAAACGAATATACCGTGTATTGATTTAAATGAAAAGGCGAAACAAATTAAAAAAGTTTTTCAGCCGAGTCTGCAACCACGAAAGAGCATTTTCATGTCTCGTTGAAGTACCGAATAAATTTAGGTAGTGGTGGAATTGTAGATAATGATATAGTATATTAAGAAGCAGTAGCAGCAAGCTAGTATATTAAAATATCAAGTTTCTGGCTAATATTGTAGTGTTTAAAACAATTCATAGAGAAATTGGGCCATCCTCATCTTCATTCCCACCCCCAACCCCATCACCGTGTGGTAACGCTTTTTTCGTTATTAATTTACTTCAACTATGAGATCAAATGTTCAACTCACACCCAAAATAAGGATTATCATCTAATGGTTTTCGGTATAATATATAAATCATTTTTAATTTTAAATACGCCTACAAAATTGAGAAAACAATTATTTTTGTATGACAATTTGATTTGTTAGAAAATTCTGCTCAATATACCACGTATGCTTTAATTGTTAAAATTGCCTTAGTAAAAACGCAGTAAACTATATTAGTTATGCAGTTAGTAGTATCACAGTAAGTATTGCTTAGCGAAGTCTGGTGTCTAGAAGATCAAATTAACGTTTTGGTATCAATTGGCCGCTAGATGTCATTGCGTTTCTTTTATTAAAACACGGTTGGAATATAATGTACCTATTTTTTTCAAATTCGATTAGTGAGATTAATAATAATTGTGGGCGCGGTTTTGATTTCGTCGAATTGAATCGAAATAAACGAAGTGTTCGAAGAAAACCTAAGAAATCTTAAATAATGGCATTCTTCTGGAATACAACAAAGAATTGGCTTTCTTACGAGCTATTGCTCACAATACTGTTTGAACGTAAATTTAGTGGTCCGTTTTTATTATCTTAATAAAAATACAAATAAATGTTGGGAATTCTCCATTCGGGAAAATGGGTGTCGGGGAAATGGATTTGGGGGAAAATATTTTGGTGAAATAGCCTGTCGGGAATTTTACTTGTCGTGAAACTGGTCCACTTCCATTTTTTTTGTAATGTTCCAGTTATGGTTTGGTTATACTTAAACTTTTGTAAATTTTGTAATTTTTTTCAAGCCTTCGATAAATTTCAACAGTATTGGCTGGTGGTAAGCTCCTAAAAAATATTAATACAATTTTGATGATGTATTACAGTTGGTATTGTAGTAGTATTTATATAATATATATTTATATGATGATTAGAGAATTTTTACCTAATCCTACTTGCTGTATTTTTAGTTATCAACATATCAACAAAATATAATAAATCCTATTGAGTGGTGGTAAACTTGTACTTAACTTCGCTTGATTTTATTAGGTTTCAATTTGTGGCTTTAGGTCTGAAAATTAGGTCAAATTTTTTTGTTTTTAAGGGAAAAAAACCTCTAAGATTTGGCTGAAATTTAAACATTATAAACTTCCGTCAACTGGTACCAAAATAACAGTAACGAAATATAAAAATTTATTTAATTTGTGGCTAATGATCTCAAAGTCAAGGCCCTTATTATAATTTAAAAAAAACAAATTATTTTACAAGGGCCATTGACCCTAATCGCAACAACTACAACGCAAAAAACAAAATTATTATAAGTTCATCGTTTTCATTGCTATAATACTGCTTTATTTTGAAACTATTTTTGCAGAGCTGAGATCGAGCCAACCGTACTTGCAATGCAGCCCGCCTCCGCCCAAACGGTACGATCTTTTCCCCGGAAATGCCGGACGACCGTTGACTGTTGGCCGGACCTTTGTTGCCCAGAAAATGGCAATAACATTTGTAGACCACCCAAACAATCGTTACAGTCTGCCACAAGTCGACGGCAACAGTTTTTTCGGTTTGGGAAATAAAAAAACAGAATATTCGACTGTTGGAAAGACAGCCATAGAAGCACAATACTTTTCAGAGCGTCATGAAGTGCATCTAAGCAATAAGTCTAGTCATTCGGCTTAAATAATGATAATAATATAAATTATACATTTAATATTAGGATACTATATAAATTATTTTAGTAAAAAGAGATTTTGTTTGAAAACTATATTCCTCCAATATCTTTTTTCCATTGCAGCCGATGCAAACATATTATCTTAGTTAATTATTATAATAGCCCAATGATGTTATTAATATTACCAATGACGTGTCCTACTGCACTGTAAAATTGATAACACAAAAAAAAATACAATCTATTTAAATTAGTTCTAATTCCATAATTCTAAAACTATTAGACCACTTTTTGACAATTTTTTTTTATAATTTAAACCTATTTTTGAAAACATTTAGAAACCTTTTAATTTAGAAACGTTATAATTCAAAAATCTACAATTTACAAAATTCAACTTAATCCGAACTTCAAAAATTGTTTTTCCAATTAAAATATACAATTTTGCTGTACATTTTGTATTTAGTTTTAAATTGAATTATTATACCCGAAGTCAGTTAAAACTGACCCAAGAAAACGTAAAATGTTTAAATTACTCATAATTGGTATGAAGATTAGATGTAAATATGGCTCTTTTGTACTTATAAATATGTTTTTGTTTACAAGCGTATCGTTGGTATAAAAACAAATTATCAAAATATTGTTCATGTAAGTTGCTTTGTAAGTACTGAAATAACATAATTTTTTAATCAGTTTTGTTTTTATTACTATTGAATAAATTGTTGTGTCTACAACGTTAAATCTTGTTTTTATTATTATGTGATATTATGAATATTGCAGATTGAATGTTACATAAACACATTTTTGTAGATGGTATATTTTGTCACAAAGCAACAAGTATTATTAAAAAATCGTTTTTTTTTTACAATACACATATTGTTGACGTTATAACAAAACGTAACAATGTTTAGGACAAATTATATTTTGTAAAATATAGTATACCCTAATGTGTTACATTACATTTATTTAAACGCCAATTAAAGCTGTCAAGCTACACATAATTACAATAATGTAATGTATTAAAACAGAACAAATACAATAAAATATTAGCTTAACGAATAGTACACAATTAAATAACATATAACTGTATAAACTCTTTGTTGCGCCAGTAAAGAATTAAAAATTAAAATTTGTTAACATTATAACATATTATAGTTGATTTTTTTTATGGGTTATAGCCGAGGTACGGGTGAACTCAAGAGCCTACTCTGACGAGAGTTTGAATACGAAGAAGTGGCTAAAAAGGAGTGGCAAGATCGACAGGAGTGACTATCGACAAAGAAGAGGACCTCGCTGAGCTACTCAGTTAAGGGTTGATCGTAGCCTGCTGGCCACGGTTATCCCTGTGGTCAGGGGGGAAAGAATTCTACCAAGGGCCTCACACATGTCGTAAAAGACGACTAAATTGACGTAGAGCCCCCCGATAAATGGCCTTCTAACAGGTCACTTCTTCTTGAAACACACCTTCCCCGGCCCGCAATTAGCACCCAGTGCTACTAGTCGGTCTGCGGTCGTAGGGGATCCCTTCGGGGCGAACCACTAAAGCCAAGGAACACCTGTTTAAATAATTACTTTTTTTGGTAAAATAGCACTTAATGTGATTTTTTTGGTTCTTCTGAAAGAGGGAAGGAATTCACGAACTTTGTTTTTGCTATACTCTAAAATGATGTTCGTACATGACCTTCTACCCTTCTTCCCGTGTGTCCTTCAAGGGTAAAAATCCAAATTATTTATTTTAATTTTTACAGCTAAATCTGAAATTACATTGTTTGATTAGCGACGTTCAAAACGTCATAATATTATACTGAATAAGAGGTTTGTGAGTAAAACTCAAGGTTTTAGTTATGAATTTTTTTTTCAATTGGTTATTTTACTCAGAGAGTTTAGTGTAAATTTCTTACTTAAAATTTATCAAATATTGCATACTCTTTAAATTGGCTACCTTGATTTTTTTTTTAATTTTAAGAACTTAAACGTATTATTGGTTTTATTATGAATATTTATTTATTTTAAAATATAAAATATTTGTGGTCTATATCTATTAAATTTTTACGAAAAACCACAATAAAAAATGTTTTTATTTATTCAAAAGTAGCACTTTTCAAATTCTTGTGAATCATAATGCATATAATATGTAATTTCAGTAAGAAAATTAAAAACTAAAATTTGTTAACATTATAACATATAGTTGATTTTTTTTTTAAACATTTAAATTTTATACAGTAAAAGCAAACAATTTTATACAAGCGTTTTATAATATAACAACCATTACGTACCAGTAACAACACAAAAGTTGGAATTAGAGTACCTGTTCGTTATCGACATTAGTGTCATGAGTAGAAGGCACATTTCTTTAGCGTGTATTCTTGATATGATAATTTGTCTATATCACTATAAAATACCTCCCGCTAAATTTTAAGTCGTAGCCAAGCCAACATGCACCATACCTATTTAAAAAGCGCGTATTCTTGACATGGCGTTATGTCCATATTACCCGAATACTGCCCACTTTAATAACACAGTAATAGTATCGTACATCAAAAACGGTTAGTAAGAGATTAATCGGGAAATTATGTGAGCAAATTTGGAATTATACGTTATATTAAGGGTCTTAGTACCTACGTATTTTTGGTCTAATTGAAGTAGATACTATGATGAGATACTATGGGATTACTACCCTAGAATGAAAAGACTTTTTTACTACAAAAATAAAATAAATTTTCGGAATAGAACATCAGAAATCAAGATGCCATTAACATCAAAACAATATGTCACATTAAGGAATGAGTTGTTTACAGAAGAAAGTAAAACCTCATGGAACCCATATCAAGTGAGTATATAATTAGCCTAATTTTTTCAAATTATTTACTGTAAATGTTAATGTATGAACAATTAATCGACTATACTGGAAGATTCATTATGGACAAGACAATCAATTTCTATTAAAACTATTTGGAGTTTTGTAGTTTTTCATTTGAAGACTTTTGTTTAACTTGAGAAGTATACGTTTGTTTTTGGCGTTCTATGTATCAATCGCTTCATTACTGTGTCCACTCAGTAGTGTATTTTGTAGATATATTTCCATAAAAACCGCGGGTTAAAAGTAAGTTTAACCAAACCTCGGTGAAGGAAGGGGTTTTTCCTCTGCATAGCAGTAGAATAGGTTCCAGAACCCATAGAGGAAAGGGTTTGCGCCGGTCAAGTCAAAGGACTAGGAGTTATTAGCGATTTTCGGAAATAGTAGTATAAAAATGGCGATCAGATGAATGGTGTACTAATGCATAAAGGTCAGATAAAAATGTGTAAATAATATGATAACCTAGTAGAGGGGAAAAAACCGCTTTATTTAAAGCCCAAAGGGCTAACCTGATGTGACATTGGGTAGTTATTAATCTATTGTAATTACTTCGAGAAAAAAAACACGACAACAAATAAATTTATCCGTTGTTTTACATGTATACAATTACAGCTTGTCAAGTATATCTTGTAGTCACCGCAATAGTATTGGAAAAATGTAGGAAGAGGACCTCGTATTTTATTTAATACGTTTAATATTAAAAACATGCATGTATTTACAAATATCCAGGATCTATTCTGTAGAAAACAAAATTATATTCGGAAGGTTTAGTTTCGGCCGTTGCAATTACAGGCGTACCCTTGGCTTTTGTAGTTTACCCCGAAGTGTTCCCCTACGACCACGGACCGACTAGTAGCGCTAGGCGCTAATTGTCACTGTATCAAGTTAGTAAAACATTCAGAATCAAATTTATTAGGAATTACCATTTTAGTGAAAATTTGAAAGTGACTACTTTCTAACACACAATTTAAATAAATATTTTACACAAAATAATATAATACTAAACACAAATAAAAATGCATACATCTAAACTTTTTCAGATTTTCAATTAGGTTAATAATGTTACAAAATGAAATAAATAGGAATTAAAATAAAATCTGACCTCGTTATATGTGACTGGACCGTAATAATGTTAAAAATTCACCTATTACTAATTTTTCACGTCACATAATTCTTTGGTTGACTTCTATAATAATTGTGTAACTTGATATTTTCGAGTCTCATCTTCTTTCAATTCCTAATTGACAGTAAATATATGTTTATCTGTCATAGCAACAACAATAATACATAAACCTAGAAACGTTCGATTGCTCATAGTTTAAATTAAAGACGTTGAAAATATTTTTGATCGGGACCTACATAATTTGTATTATTTACAAAACTCGTATAAGAATAAGTAAATGGTTCCATAACCAATTTAAGAATAAAATTTCGTGTATATGAAAATTAAAAAAAGACTGCTTCATATTAGCATAATAGTTTTGTTTCTGGAAACAACAATACTGATATTTATTAAATGCCTACTATACTATTGAACAAACAAAATCAGAAAACTCGAGGCAAAGTCAATGTCTCTTCCGTCGAAGAAGTCTCATTAGTTAGAATAGTTAGTTAGTTAGAATAGTTAAAATTAGATAATATCAATATCAACGTTATAACAGCTAAACAATGGACATAACTAAGTATAAATATGCCAGTAAATTCCAAAAATTACATAACCATCCAAAAATACCGGTGAAAAATTGTATACAAATTAAATAGTGAAAATTAATAATATTTATGTTTAAAATAACAAGTTAATAGAACCTACGAGTTTTATAAAATATGTTAACATAACACACGATTCAACATTTTAAATAAATACTTCACGCTAAATAATATAGCAACAAACACAAACAAAAGTGCATACCTCTGAGCGTAGACCTTTTGCAGATTTTTAATTCGGTTAATAATAAAAACTTCTTTAAAAAATTTGAAATATCATTTACACAGTAGAAATGTCACGTTAATTGTGTTAAATAAAATATAGTTTGAGTAAATAACAAATTACAAACGTAACAACCAAGAAAATTTAGTAACCAGTAAATCGACAATGTTTATTTTTTATTTTATTTTGATGCGTGATATCTAATAAGGTTATAAAGGCTAATAAGGAGAGAAAAGTATCTAAGAAATGTACATTCTTTCGAAAATTATAAATATGGCGCTCTAAATTTTTTTAAAAATATTCGTAGAACATTTCTAAGATAAATTACCATCAGACAATACTGATAAACAAAAATAATAAGGTTAACCATTTTCCCTAGAAAGGTTGGAAACTTTTTCTGTATTTTGTTTATTTAAGGAATGATTGAGGATTTACAGTCTGAATTTTAAACAGAAAACAGATTTTAAGTACTGTATAAAATTGTCTCTTAATAATCTGTAGTTAACTTTTGTATTACAAAGAACAATAAAAAAAAGGGGGGGGGGGATTATACTTTGAAGCCGTGTTTCTTAACTTATTTTTAATTTATATTAATTCATATTGTCTTCGATGGAATGCAATTCCTGTGGATAGGCTATAAAGCAAGATAAAGTCTTTATGTATTTATTTAAGTAGACGGGTTATAATCAAACATGTATATTTTAATATACTTGTTGTCATTTTGTATTCTTAGTGGTTATTTACCTATGTTATAATGTTATACAAGTACAATTAATTATTA